CTCGGTCGTGTAATATAAAACAAAATGTATTTTATCGATCTATGGATATTTTCTGCGCCATTTTTCCGTTCATTGATGACACATCAAGATGATTCCTCTCATAAATAATCAGAATCGGAATCACACACTATTTTAGATTAGATAGTTGACAGTCTGGTAGAAAAAGGGTAGTAACCGGGCAATAAAGGTAGTAACGACTGCAGTTACTACCTCTTTAATTGCAGCTACTAACTGTTTACTCATTCAGATAGTAAAAAGGTCGCAAAAAGTTTGTAACCGTTTCAGCTAGTAACTGTTTACTAACATAGCCCAAGAAAGGTAGTAACCACTGCAGTTACTACCTATTTGCTTGCAGTTGCTATCTTTTTACTAACTTTTCGAAAGAGTGCTATAGCACAGGAAGGGTGAGAAACAGGAATAAAGCAATAGAGGGAGAGAGACAAAGATAGGAATGAAAAAGAAATGCAGAAAAACAGAGAAAGAATAAACGTTTCTTGTGAGCAAGCGCACTCGGCGCCCTACGTTGGCGGCCTCCTTATTCCAGGTAGCCGTGGGCCTTCACCATCTTCCGCGGCCTTTCAGCTGGCTTCGCTAGTTCTTCAGGCCTGGGTTTGATAACTTGGCCTCCCACTGCTTTTCAGTTAATGTAGTTGTGCTACAGAATTGTATCCATTGCCATACCATATGACATAGAGTATCCGTGATATCACAGTACTTGCAAATGTTCGAGCGCTTAGTCGGTGAGATGCGACGAAGTCTATATAGTGTGGCGTAAAAGTTGGTGTTTATTTGCAGTTTTCTGAAGATTACAGCCTCTTTCCTTGTTTGGCTGGTGTAAGCTGGCGGATGGATTCTTCTGCCTAGTCTGTATACATATGTATAGTGCTGCAAGATGTCGCTGTACTTTTTCGGCCTATCTTCCTTTCTCCTTTTATGGGGTACGTGACGTCATCGTTCACACTGATGCGTATGCAGAGACGATACGCGTATTTATTTTTCAGCATGCGCGTGCATTGTGTTTTGGGTGATGTGAGGATCTTGTTTGTGAATTTACGAGCACCATTTTCGTATTACGCCACATTGTCATTGTTCCTTCTCGCATATACCATGTAAAGCATTTTGTGTACAATTAGCGCCGGTTCTGATACGAAATCTTCTTAATCAGCTGCAACAGCAAAGCTATAGTTTCCAGCACTCACGCAGGTGCATGTTGCTCGTTCCTCATTAGTGCTCTCTCGTACCGCCATATATGCCCTCATATTCTTGTATATTACTCGCTATGCTGCGATATCAGCTCAACTTTAAGTGCGAAAGAGTCCTACACATCTAGACTTTGTCGTTCTGCTGCCAGCAACGCCTTAATTTTAACGGTTGTTTAATTTGGGCGGCTGGAGATAAATTAGATTCCTGTTAACCACCACGGTGTCCTCGTTTCGATGAAAACGAAATTCTAGAGGCCCGTTACGTATAGACTTAGGCTTACGTTAAAGAACCACAGGTGGACGAAATTTCGGGTCCTCTCCATTACGACGTGCTTCAAAATAATATTGTGGTATTGGCACCTAAGTTTGCAAAAGTTATTATTAATTTCATTCGATTCCTCACCGCGCTCGACTACTTGCGCACGCAGTGGTCGTACGTGAGCTGATATTTCGACCAACCATGGTGCCGAACACAGCGTTGATGATCATGGCCAGGTAGCCAATGCATAAAGCATAAACAAAATGAGTGGAAAGCTTTGTGAATTCAACCTTTTGGTTCCGTATTCTCGGAAAGATCTTAGGCTAGAATGCTTTGTAAGAGAAAATTGTAGCCATTCTTGATAATAGACATGACATCAGCCAAGAATTGGCCGCTGAGAAAGAATGCCTAAGAAAAAAAAACTTTGCGAATCAGACATCGGTCAAGGATCGATTGCTCACACTATACTCTTTCTCCTCCATAATTGTAAGGGACGCGCGTCTCGTATTGTTCTTGTTTCGTTTTTATTCTTTTGTTTTCGTGTTTATGTGGTTGTTTTAGTGGTTGCTATAAACAGGGGCCCTGTATACCTGTTCAGCGCAAAGGCTACAGTTGACGCAACCGTTGTGGTTGCGATACTTGCGAGGCCCCCCAGAAGCACAATTATTGCGCAATAGTTGTTCGTCCTTGGAATTTATTCCACCAGCCTCTAAGCTGTCATAAGCACTGCTGCTGCTGCCAAGAAGCTGCTATACGAAGCCAGCTACCACGGACTTACCCGACAGAAAGCGGAAACCGGGAGCGACCGATTTCACGCGACCCTTGTATATATACGCGACGCGGTGAGTATACGGCCGCAGACGCGAGTGGGCCTCGGGAATCCCGCCCAGACCGCAGTGGTGCCAGCCACCGGAGGAAAGAGCCCTCGAATGCCGTATTTACGACAGGGTGCAAGGCCACCGCAACCCACTACATTCAGCTACGGGAAGAGCCCGTTCAATGCTGGGCCACTCCTTCTTGCGACAAAGACGACGTTTAATAATAAGATTAGTAACTGCGGCGGTGGTTGACACGCGGCTATCGCGCATGGAATAGTGTACGGAAGGCGTATGAACGTCGATCACCCGATCGTTCACGTGTGCTTTCCGTGAAAGGAAAGCACCTGCATTGCGTACGCGTCTGGCGATGTATAGATGCAACACCCTTGACGACACGATGGATCGTTGACGTCACGATGCAAGTTCATCGTTGACGGCACGATGACTTATTTCTCTAGAGAGGGTGAATGACCGCCTAGGTACAGAAGCGCTCGACATGTTGTAACATAAGCGGAGAAGTTTCTTAATTTTACTAAATGAAAATATAGAAAATGGTCCGCTGGTTTCGTTGTGATTGCAATTAACAAAAACAGAGCCCTTAGTTCCTCTTCTTCTCGTACATTGCGCTGCCAGGGTCTCGTCCTCGGCAGTTCTGAAGCCTTCATGTAGCAGCGCTTGTATGTTCCCCTTGTCGTCTATCCTCATTCGTTGTGCGCGTACTGCATATTCATATGAGCATATATACTCATTTGATTGGTCAGTCGCTTTCACTCAGTCGCTTTCACTCAGTCGCTTTCACAACGACCGCCATACTCGTTGAGTGTTGGTACCTATACACGCTGACACTCTTAAGATGAGTTCTAGCACACACAAATGTCCGAGAAAAAAACGACGGAAGAATGGCGCCACGTTAGCTCCGTCGTAATTACCATTCCACATGCAATGCAAACACGTCGGTTTACATCCTGCTTACGGCTAGTTTCTTGCTCTTGTACTTGTATTCATTTTAATTTCTTTAATTCAATCGAGGAAAGTTAATTAACTTGCCACTAATTTCAATTTGGTTCTCATTCATTATGAGGGACAAGCGTAGTGGAGAACTCTGGAAAGTTTGACTATCCGGTATCCTTTAACGTGTACTGCATGACATCGCACAGTATGCGCGGGCTTCAACTATTTCGCCTCCACCGAGATGCGACCGCCCGCTGCCGGGACCCCGTGGCCTTCGGATCAGCAGCCACCGTGGCAGACGAAAACAAGCTAACAGGAGTGGAAGTTCTGATTTGTTAGGTTACTGAACAGCATTCTTGTACTCTTATGTACCACCTTAATCCGAAGGAACGCATTGGAGTCGAAGAACTTCATACCTCGCTAATTGAGGCACTAGCCCATGTGACAGCTGTGTAATGATAATATAAACATTGTACGCAGTACAGCTTACGGAAAATATTAGTGAGTCTTTTGGTATAGCAGCCGCGGGAGATCTTTTACATTCTTTACTTGCTCGCTCCAGTGCGACTTCTTATCAAAAGTCAATCCATAGTAGCTCTTTATAAAAGGTGCTTTGCTGACAGAGAATGTTGCTTAATGTTGCCTTATTAATTAGGGTAAAAATTACAACGCTTAAGCTCCTGCGAAGGTAAAATAGAACTTTTGTATTCTACGCCGTAGATATTTACCCAGGCCTTAATCCACTAGCTAATTCACACGAGCGTGTTTTGCCATTGAAATACCACCTCAGTTAATGTCATCTCATGTCCATCATCAGGAATAGCAGAAAATTTCTCTTACGAACAGTGCTAGCGTAAAGCGTTTTTATGCTTACGGGACCATAAACATTCTTCAAGAAACTGCGAATGAAGGCAAACCCAAGTTCATAGGTATGTAAATACCCGCTTTGGTGACTGGATGACTACGGCGCTGCGCTGCTGAGCTCGAGATTGGTCGTGCGTTCGATCCCGGCAACGGTGTCCTCACTTCTATAGTGCCAAAATGCAAAAATGCTCCCTAACTACAGCTAAATTTCTACACTCTGCTGTATATTCGGGAATTTCGTGAGGAGCTTGTCTCATAATTGGTTTGGTATTTTTTGCGTGCACATTTTATTATAAAAGGGACGCAGATATCGAATAGGAAGCAAAGGTTTCGGGGTCTCTATGGTCAATATTCACGGTGCCATCATGTGAACTGGAGAAAATCATCTAGCTGGCTGATTACCAGTGCCTTGGTAGCAATTATTTCCTGTCAAACATATTTAATATCCAACGTCACTGGTTAATGCAGACCCTGAATTGGTTTGTTCGTTTGTTTGTTTGTTTGTTTTGTCTGTTTGTTTGTTGCTACTCATTAGTTCCTGCTAAGGAGGCTGACCAAGTTATCAATGTCGCATTTTGTGGTTGCACTTTTTTTCGCAGACAAGGGTTAGATCCCTGCAGCTCCTGTATCCTAAATTTCGTGTTCATTCCGTGTTTAGCGCACAAGCCGCCGTCTAGTATATACGGAATAAAAGCAGCGTCAGAATGGCTCAGCGTTGTGTTTTATAATATCATCTCATGTTTTCCCACACTTGCAGTGGTGCGTTTGCTGATGAGAATAGCAATTTCTTGATCGCCAACGTCCTCTTGAGACTGTCCTGCATATGCCAACCCAGCGCTATTGGTTATTTCATTCATTTTCATTCCAGATCACTTACGCTTTTTCTCTGTTTCTTACGTTCTACAGGGATACCCGGTTACCCGTGAAGACGGAAAAATGGTGACGAAGTTCGAGGAGTCCGTGCCAATGGTGACTTACTTGGTATGCTTCATCGTCTGTGATTTTGACCGGGTGCAGACTACGGCGTCTATGGACCAGATACCGGTAAGTAGTCAAGTGAAGTGTATACAGTCTTGGACATCGCTAGTGCTCGGGTAAAGATCGCATGCACAGTCTATATGAACTTATGCATAGCACGATTATGCGCAATCTTAGTGTACTGTCACAATAGTTAAGGATAGTAAAGACGCTGTTTATTTTTTAAAGATGGAAAAAAATTGCATGTTATCATTATTTTTTCCTGCCGCTAATGCTATAGCTCGCTACGTGTTTGCAAAGGTCATTTTTAAGCTGGTGTGGAGAGGGTGGTTCCTTGGCACCCAACTGATTATACGTGAACAATTAACAATGATTTATTTCCTGTATAGTTCACGTGGGTTTCAGAGATGTTTTTTACAAGGCATCATTTCTTGCGTCACCGAGACCCATGTGCAGCCGCAATTCTTTACCAACGAGTGCTTCCACACACACACACACACACACAAAACTATTTTCGCTGACAGACAAAGTGCGGAATAAAATGAAACGACAGCGTTTGCATCAAGTGTGTAAAGCTGACAGTGTCTGCAACTGTTTCGTTCTTCGGCAGCAGCGCGATGTGCGTTTTACGTCGGTGCGTCAGCATCGAGAAAGCATTTGGTAAGACTGCTATAGTCAGTTGTAGATACGCAGGCCTTTTTTTTTCTGTGCCCTCTGGACCTTACGACAGATTTTTATTCAGCGTGAAAAGTGCCGAAAGAATGCCTACCTATGTATGTTCGTGTTTTATTCTTTATCGCGTGGCAGAAAAGAGTGCTCTGCGGCAGTGCACGGAAGGCAGCCTTAAGTGTGAAAGAGGCTTTAGCGTCCTCTTCTGCAGTTTCAAGTACTTTTGTCGCTTCAAAGTGCACTTGCCATCGCGTTTTACGCTCTGCAGAACATCTCTGCAACTCAGCAGGTAGTACATTTCTCGTGTGAACAGTTCACAGTGCTGTATCCGCCCTTACCGAGGGCTCGACGTAACTCCTTGGATGTTCCTTGTGCGCCTCTGCATGCCTTGCCTGCAGACCCCCCCCCCCCTCTCTGCCTCACTCTACCCACAAGTATTAAATACATGTGAGGGTCCTTGTGTTCAGGCTGGAGGTGGGGGGCACCCCCCTGGAGGATTATCCCTTGTCACCCCCCTTTTTATTTATTTATTTATATATTTATTTGTGTGTGCTGCTATTCCGAAAGGGTTACAGCAAGAGTGCACATACAGTAGCGTAATACAGAAGCCACACGCATGCATTGCAATACAATGGCAACAACAAGTAATTACAAAAATATACAAAACAGGAGTGATTAGTAGCATGTAGAATTTAGCGATGAAGAAACATTTGGATACAATTAGCTTTTGAACATCGTATTTCAATTGCTTGACGTTCCGTAACGCCAGCTCTGAAATCTGAAGCCCTTCCTAAGAGCAGAAAACGAGGTGCTAAAGTGAAACCCGCTTACCGTGTCAAAAAGTGAGAACGAGCTCTCTAAAAAGTTACGGCTTACTTCTGACGTTATTCACATAAAAAAACAGCGCCAATAACTGCGCAAAAACAGCGCAATTCTTTCAATGTGAATAATGTCGTACCAACTCGCCCAAGCAACCACGTTAGTTACTTCCGACGTGCCGCGAATGTTCGTTATGCTCGGCTTTAAAATGCAAAGTAAATACGTAATCTCTAATTATCTGACATTATTTGTGTCTGAAGCAAGGTGTGAAAGTGGGCTAGTTGGTATTCTATGTCTCAAACAGCTGAAGAGCAAAAAAAGGTAACAATGAACTAAAAGCGCCCGTCCTTGTTCTTGACTTAGTCCGTTGTTACCTTTTTTTCCGCTACAGCTTTTTTAAGCTTATTTATGTTGATGGTTTCGTGAAAAGCCATAGACGCTGAATTATGAATCTGATTGCTGAACTATTATTTTGCTAATTCCACAAAAACAACACCCAGTTACATAAACATGTATTTCAAGCAATTTTTCGGGAGAGCCTTTTACTAACAGAGATTTGCGATGGGAAATGAGAGGGAATTTGAACATAAGCTGCAGCATACCTATTCGCGTTGTCACAAAAAGGGCGAACATATTCATTTGATGGTTTCAACTGAATGACGTAAGCTAGAAATGTGCTAAAGCCCACCTACGTGCCCCACTTAGAAACTTCATCTACATAACATGTTTCTACTATTGGTTACTCAGGGCTGTAGGCTCAGCTTCCTTGACCCGGCGATATATGGTTCACGCTCGCTTCTGAAATATTGTTTCAAAAGCATAATTTTAGTTTTCATAAAATTAAAAATATAATTTATATTAGCGACAACAGTATGGTCTCCATAGCTAAACTTGTTTCCTCTTGTGATATTCGTAGATTTACGCTCTGCTTTTATGCTACATAGCTCATCGTACAGAATTTTAGCAATCCGTTCTTCTATACGCATCTTTGTAGCTTCGATTCGACTGTGCCTCTTCCTTTGTAAGTTTTGTTGTAGGAGAATTCGCATTAAAGCAAATAATTAAAAACGCACGAGAATTGTCATTGTATTGGACACTTCTGAATGATGTGCATGCTCCTTTTATACCTTTCTTTTATTTTCTTTCAGTTCTCCGTATACGCTGCTCCCAACCAGCTCAACAAAACCTACTACGCCCTCGACATCGGCTCGAGGATACTAAGTTTCTACGAGAAGTACTTCGGCTTGAAGTACCCTCTGCCTAAACAAGGTAAACTGCATTGTCAAGTTGTTGGCACGGTGTTAATTTGACTCACGAACGTTGTTCGCTACGAAATCTGTGACAGCATTCATTGCGCATTTTACTCGTGGTTTATCATTTTCTTTTTCGAGCCCTTTAGGTCTCGGTGCCTGTTGAAGAGTTGAACTGCTTCGGTGACCTTTACGTCTCACAGTGTGCCTAACTGCATGTTGTTGACGTCATCCGCAACAGAGCAGACGGCGACCGGCGCCAACATTTCTTCTCGGCGGCGCAATCTGTTTTTCCTTTCATGACATTGAATTGAATGTCTCATGTGTAAACACGTCGAACTTCCTTGATGGGGTTCCTTGGTGATTAGCGTCAGGGTAGAGGCGTTTCACCGTGAATCCAGCTTGGCGGGTCGGTCAACCTGCCATGCACTTAAGTGCTAAGCTGCTAATGCGTTAGATCGTCAGGTCACTTTATACAATGTGTCAACTATAGCGATTCAGCGTTCCACAGACGTCTGCGTCCAGTTTTAACATGAAATGAGCCCTGAAAGACATTTGTTCAAACCTCGAAGCGGCGTCATTTTGGGCTTTATGACTTTAACCACGCATAAATTTACGTATATACGCATTGTTTGTTTTCTGTGTGGCGTTGCTGCATTTGGGTTGCACGCGTGCGTGCGCGCACACACGCACACACGCACACACACGCACACACACACGCACATGCACACGCACACGCACACACACACACACACACACACGCACACGCACACACATGCACACACATGCACACACGCACACGCACACACACACACACACGCACATGCACACACACACACACACGCACACGCACACGCACACGCACACACATGCACACACATGCACACACGCACACGCACACAAGGCACACTGCTGCTGACCCGAAGGCATAGGGTTCGATCCCAGCCGCGGCCGTAATATACTCATGGAGGCGAAAGGCCAGAGGCCAGAGGACCATCACATGGCCGAAATTTTCGTAGCCCTCCGCTACGACATCTCTCGTAATCGTATCGTCGTTTCGGGACGTAGAACACATATATTAGTACATACAGATACACCCATGTGTGCATGTTTTAATGTTTTATCTTGTTCTTATTGCTGATAAAACTGCGCGCATACTGTCAGGACAAAATGCAGCATTAGTCACGTCAACTGCATCCTTGCGCCTTCTGCAGACATGATCGCCATTCCGGACTTCGTGTCGGGGGCGATGGAGCACTGGGGCCTCATCACCTTCCGAGAAGTGAACCTCCTTTACGACTCGAAAAAGTCCAGTCCACGGAATAAACAGCGAGTGGCAGCTGTCATAGCCCACGAGCTCGCACATCAGGTACGCCTCTTCATGACACTGTCATCCGTATACGCACTCTATGTAATCTGTGTACAAATGCCAACGCCTTCATTGCCCTGCCGCGAGAACTATAGGTACTTGGCAGCAGACGCGCAGGTCACGGGATGGAATCTCAGCTGCTGCGACTGCATTTTCGATGGAGGCGAAAATGCTGAAAGGCGATGTGCTCAAATTTGAATGCACGTTAAAGAACCCCATGAAGGTGGTCGAAATTTCTGGAGCCCTCCACTAAAGCGTCTCTCATAATCATATGGTGGTTTGGGGACGTTAAACCGCACATACCAATCATATCATCCTCCTACGCCCTCATTGAACGTAGCTCACATCTACGCTCAACATTTCTCAAGACGATAAGTTGGGCTAGTTGGTTATGCATGCCTGCATGATCATAACGCATAAACAGGGGTCGACGGAGTATAGACGCGAAGAGACGCTCAATGTAACTTAGGGCTTCGTGGTGCCTACTCTGTAGGTCTGTGCTAACAACCTTTTGTACTATTTTATTGATAACATGCTTTGTGTGCTTATTTTTTCACTAACATAGAGCTTTGGGCTAGTTGGTGCAGCATAATTCGATGTTTTCAGGGCGCATGGAACAAGGACTATACAGAAAATCACACACAGTGCTGTGTGTCTCCTCTTTTGTCGCCTTTGGTCTGCGTAGTGTGAAAACATCATACTTGCATTTTCATTAAAATCCCACGATGTGGTCCAGTGAATAATGCAACCTTTCCATGCTTTTCCTGCGAAGGCGTGAATGAGATAGTTGCTACAGGACTGAACAGAACGAAAACAAGCCGTCCTTGGCATAGACTCCAGAAAACGCGCCATCTCGTGGGGCCAGCATAACCACTCGAAAACTATCCGACCATGAGCTGCGTCAGCTAAGTGGCATTTTACCGACAAAATGAGCTCAAATATTCAGCCATGGTCAATTCCTGTGCAATTTAGCTAGATTGAAGGACCCCTGGCTTTGTTTCGTAATCCATATAGCGACCATATAAGAACGTATAGGCCTACGCTATAATTATTGTTTTTCATGCAGCCTTGCTTTACCTCCTCTCCCTCTTTTTTTATCCTTAACAGTGGTTTGGAAACCTCGTGACCATGAAGTGGTGGGACGACTTGTGGCTGAACGAAGGTTTCGCAAGTTACATTGAGTACAAGGGCATCGACCACGTTGAACCAGAGTGGGACATGGTAGGTACACGCGTCGATATTTCGACGTCGGCAATAAAACGGCGCGGTTATTAAAGATTTAGCATATGGCGCTCAAGTTGCACCAGGTCTAGTGCAGGCAAATCACTGCCATATATTTACATGGTGATTTCGCTGCCTCGTTGGGACATCCGCCCCTATATAATGCCCTTCAATGAAGGGTGTTACAAAAGAACCCACGCAATGGCTGTGTGGGCGTGGTAAAATACATTGAAGAACGCCCAGCTACGTAAGGGCGAATTCTTCACTGAAATTACTGTATGTCGCTCTTCACATTGTGGTTAGAGAAATTCTGACAAAAAAATTATCGGAACGCAAAGCAAAAACTTAAATGGTCTGAAGATGGCGACACGTAATTTTGTAAGTGGCCCGTTGCACATCTTTTTACTGTTTTAAAAAAGACAGTGCATGTTTATTTAGCAATAAATGATGTCTTAATCTTTCAAAACTACCAGCGCAACCTTATTTACAACAAAGTTAATGCCAAACATTCTACCTCCGCTTCCTGAAAATCTCCGTAAGCACGCCGTTTTGCGGTAAACTTGGCGTCCCATGCGACTAACTAAAGCATTTTTTTTAAATATTACAATACCAAATTTGAGGATGTGACCATAAGGTTGCCCTTGACTGTTGTATGGATCGAATCATGCCAGTTTTTTTTATTGTTCAGTTGTGCTTATAGATGCATAGTTGATATCATTTTATGCACTTTGAATATTCAAGATTATTGAAACTCCTTTCTTTTTGCGTAATAAAGGTTGCTGAGATATGTGAAATATGGCAAAAAAAAAAACTTGGAGGACGCTTGCGCTTCCTTCAAGAGCAAGGACGCGACTGCGTGATGATTTGGCCCTGTTGGCACCACCTTCTGATTCGCCAGCCAAGCTTCGCTTTTCGGTGGGCACTTCAATCGTGCCGTGAACAAAGCAACGTTGTACGTGCAACATTGGCCGTTTTGAACTCTTCTACAATTGCCTACTGCATGTAAAGTTGCGAAGTGTTCACCAAGTCATAAATTCTGTAAATTAATGGAATACACAAACCTGAGTTGTGGGGCAATACGCGCACCTACACAACTGCACGTTTTGTTGATCATGTTGCTGGTGAGGATGATCATCTATGGGCCTGAACGCTGTGTGATCGGTCGGCCTTTAAGCCACTATTTCCACCTGTGTCACACAATATTGTGTCAATTCGGCTCATCGCACTACATGTCGCCTCTATATGTTTTTTTTAAATAGTTTCAAGTGCTGATGAACTTTAAATAGTTTTTTAAATAGTTTCAAGTGATGAACACCTGCTTGCATGCAGAAGGCCTATTTGCATCCATCGTAATGTTTCGCTCCAGACTAACGACGCCGACATGAGACCGATGCCGACATCGCAATTTCTGTGAAAGGAGTTCTTTAACACAATCCTGTTAGAAAACCACCGCTTTTGTTGCGTAACTGTATAGCGTTAATAGCGAAACACGAAGAGAGCGGGACCCGCATGACTAGCTACATTGAAGATTGGCAACGAGAACCCAAACGAGCCAGAGCTCGTGGCGACAGCCGCTCCTCGAGCTGCACCTGTTCGTCCGCTTATTTCGTAACTGTAGCAATCTTAATCGTGCCTTTTATGCATAAACAGCGTAATAAGGCTAGATTTGCATTTCCACTGTGAAAACAATAGGGCATGCGGCAATTTTCTTTCCATTCAGCTTACTGTAATCTTGAACGCCCGCTTTCAGGTCTCGTTGCAACGTACACGAATTTCGAAGCCAGCGAGTGGGTGCCAGTCTCTTTGAAAAATAAAAAAAAAAGAGCTCAGCGGCTTTCTTCGTTGAGGGGCAAACAAAGTTTTTCAGCTGTCTACCTTCAGCTTCTTCAAATGTTCGATCTGTCACTATCCCGCTCTTGTGGCAGGATCCCTCCCCTTGCTTCGAAGAGGAAGAAGCCACAGGAGCCTTGTACTATACTGTAGAACTATTCAAAAGCTTGGCAGCACACCACGCGTGACATGCAAACGGCATGAAGTCCTTCGTGCTTCGAAGTTTGCGTAAGCGATTCGGTCGATTATAACTCCGTGTGTTTTGTGGACGAATTTAGATGGATTGCGGGTCTGCTTTCGTAGATTCGGGCCAGACTCCATGTGAGCGGATTATTCATTTTAAAGCTAGCGTGCGTCCTTCGTGCAAATGCGTAGAAGTAGCAGCGTCAGAAGCAGCCTTCACATTAAACGCACGACTTAGCAACATCGCTGGACGTGCAACTACGTGGTTATAATAATCGCTAAGTGGTCCCTGTACCTGTGTCCTTCCCTTTAGGTGCTAAGGTGAAACAGCAGCATTTTGTATAATTAACAACCTTGCGCGGTGCGGTGGTTATGAGATGCTTTAAATAGCACCTATTTTGGTAGCTTCTCTTGAATACAAAATGAGTTTGGTGCGTGCATGCCGCGAGTGTACCAACGAAACGATAATTGATCACCATTATAACACTTATGCAACTGTGTTTGCTTCTATATTTTTATATAGGTGGAAGACACAAAAGACATAAAAAACGGGCATGACCTGTAGTACATAAGGATTCGCAACATGATGATGGAGGTTGTTCTAAAGAGATTAAAAAACCTATTATTGTCTTGCTTTTGCACTTGCTTTAATTATGAGATTCCACTATTAGAGGCGAATATTTTACAGTCTATTAAGAAGTCATTTCTTTCTAGGACGTTTTTTTTTCTTTGCACCCGCGTTGTTCACTCAAAACGCAGGTCACGCAAAGTTTTTGTGATGAAGATTAACGTTTCTCTTTTTGGCGTTGACGTTCATTTCTCAAAGTAAAATGCATAGACCGAGTTTTTCTTTTTCTTTTTTTTTTGCGACCTTGTTCTCAGTTTTACGGCGTAACCTCGGCTACGCCATGTGCCAAGATAAGGAAAGAGAGAGAGCATAAAGTCAGATGAACAAAACCGATAAAAGATCATAATCAAGAGCCGGTTCTCAGCCGTCTATGACAGCGTCGAATCGCCCTGCGTCACCCGATACGAACACCCCGAGAGCAACGGGAAACTCCATCGTCCCGTAGCGTGCGGGGCCACCCAGATAAAGTGCCGCGAAAGCTTTATGCCTGCGGCATCGTTGTAGGACAGGTACTCATTTACAGATTATGTCGTTATCTTTTTTTCCTCTGCCCCCCCCCCCCTACGCTTGCTTAGATGAACCAGTTTTTGACGGAGGACTTACAACCCGTAATGGACTTGGATTCAACAACCACTTCGCACCCGGTGGTTCAGAGCGTCAGCCACCCGGACGAGATCACAGAGATCTTCGACACCATTTCCTACAACAAGGTAAACGTTGTTTTTCGTATCGATAAAGGCGGCCACTCAAGCACTCGAACCACAGGGGGGGGGGGGGAGCAGAAAAGGCCAGGCGGTGCCGCTTTCTTTCTCTGAACTTCGTATCCGTCCGGCCCAGCTGCTGCTTTTCTTCCAAGAACCGCGTCAAACCAGCTACCCACTATCACACATAGCAGTCCAGCCGGCGCCCAAGCTAACGGTGCAACACGGCCCAGTGGCGGCTTTCTTGCGCTTCTGTACCCTTCTTGTATTCCTTTTTTTTTTCGTCTCTCCACTTCGCCGTCTCCTATAATGACTGGGTATAATCACGCGACGCTGCCCAACCCCAGGGATAACCCGTGCGGTTTCGCGTTCCTGCAAGGACACATTTGTTTACCTCTCAATCTGGTCGCTCCCGTTTGCCTTCGAGACTTGAAGACGGTTGCTTCCAGTGCGTTTTCATGTGATGCTCGATCGGTCTGTCACAAAAAACCAAGAAAGATAATGAACAAATCTAATCATTTAATTGTTGACGTTGCTACGCTTGCCCGAACGTACGTGGTTGATCACTCTTGGCATGAAACGGGCGGGTGCAATTATATGCAAGGTGGTTTTGTTTTTCTTTTCTTTTTTTTCTTTGTCAGTTTCAACGTTTTTTTCTTTCGTTTTTTTCACGCAACACGTAGCAGAGCTTAGCCATTTCTGATGGATCACTTGAAAAAATATTTTCGTGATATATGGCAACGCACGGGTAGTTAATTTTCGAAAACTCATGGGTGAACTTTTACACTTAAAAATTGTTCGCTGTCACGCACATGTTGAAGTGTGAAACAGAATTGATGAAGATCCATGTGCCCGCCAGAAAAGGTGTTTCTATGGATGTTTCCGAAACGAGCAGCGCTTTCATAAACGCCCTTAATCCCAGCCTGCTCAACTGGCACTTATTCATGAAAACTTGAGCTTTAGGTCGGAGCAGTCGCAGGGGAATCATCATGTCGGGCGTATTATAGGCGGAGGCAACCTGGCGGTTGTAAAGTGCACGTACTAATAAAACTCTTTGCGGATTCGTTCTCGTTCTTTGATTGCGCAATTCTGACCTGTTGAGGTTATTAAGTTTCAGGCCAACTCCCTAAGTACGCCGCCACTTAGGGGGCCCTGAAACACTTTTTGGAGTAACCATGGAATTAATTCACTGGAAAAACGTATTGCATAACAAATTCAACGCCGCGAAAAATTTTAAGAATCCGTCCAGAACGAGCGGGATTGCAAAGATTTGTTACACGCTGCAATCTCATTCTGTCTTCTCTCGTCCCGACGAAAGCGCTACAAGCTAAGCAGGGAGGGATGGCAGGGGCGAACAAAAAACGTCATGCGCGCCTCGTGACCTTGAGCACTTTTTTTTTCTTTGTTCGAATACGTGGTTATCTCAGTGCGATCGCATGTGCACGCGTGGACAAGTGACGGCCTCCCGCGGTGATCTCTGTAACGACCGACCACGTCATGTTCAAATCAGCCAATGGCTGATAGATGGGCTTACTACGAGTGATTTTTGGGCTTACTGCGTGATTTGTCGAGAGAAAGGCAAGCAATTTTTAGCTGACTTTGATAATTTATTGTGAATTTCAGGCCGCGTGTTGCGCTATATTATTTTGCTCGCGTGTTTACTGGTGCTTTTACTAACGATCGGCAGCACTTTTTGAACATGCTCAAAAAGTGTTGCTGGGCCCCATTAAATTGTGTCGTGTATCACGGGGCTTAAAACACAATCATGAACACACACCACCACCACCACCACCTCCTCCACACCTCACCACACCACGCACATTCATACGCACGAGTGTTTCGATGCATTTACGCACATAAAAACTGGCACAAAAATTGTGTCCTTGGTGTTTGGGCTTTGTTCCTATAGTGTTTCTTCGCTCAAATCTGTTCCAGGGTGCGTCCGTGCTTCGAATGCTCGAGAACTTCCTTGGGCCTTCGATCTTTCAGAGGGGTGTATCGGTAAGCTCAGTTGCGCATTTTTCGTTCTATGCAATTCCCTTGTAAGCTCTCATTGAACAATTACTCGCATGTCCAGTGTCATTTTTAATATGCGAGATTACGGGAGGGACATGTTAGCGTATGGCTCGTACACGACACTGGGCTCGAGTTAACGGTGTTGCAGTCTTCGTAGAGACAGTATGCAGCAGACTTCTTAGTCGATAAAACAATTTTCTGTGATGTTTAAGTGAAGAGGAGTGCATTATGAAACAGCGCGGTGGTTATGAATAGCTAGGGTCATGGCTTTGTATTAAGGCCCACAAAAAATAGTACATCAAAATTATTGTTCTGAAATTTGCGTTTAATCAAACGTTTGTGCATTACAAACAATCATATGAAACAAGTAGATAATCGAGCATATACAACAACATTAAAAAATTCTAGCATGTGTATAGTCCTGCAGCAGACATACTTCCGGTAGCCCTTAATTACCAGTTAAAATTTGAAATTAAAGAGGAGTTTTAGCGCCATGAAACCCCTTATTGAATTGTGAGGTGTGTCGTAACATAAATGATCTATTTCGACTACATAATAATCTTCCTGCGCTTGTGACCAAAGCTTGCGAGCATTTTTCTCTTTTATCCTCATTCGAATGCTCAGCACCAAAAAGCTATATGTAAAACCCCAAAGCAGCTTGGTTGGGATTATTTACATGTTCTATAGTTCAGAAAATTTAGGGAATTTGCTGATATATGTTTCAGCGAAAACAATATCCAGAGGCTTGTTGTGAATCAAGAATCGTATGGTTCGAAGACTAATGTTAATGGGGGCACTTTACGATTTTTTTCAGTCCTTTTTGGAAAACCACCAGTTCGGAAACGCCAAAACTGAAGACCTGTGGGCAGAACTTTCTGAAGCGGCTAGTGATGTGAGTAAATGACCCTCTGCACCAATGCTCACAACAATACTTTATCAGGATTCAGACTTATGTTATTGTTTTTTCTACTTCGTTCGCTTGAGCGATGCTATTGGAGTGAAAAGTAATGGATTGAAAAATTTATGAATCGTTGGTTCTGGAAACAATCGGAATTCATCCGCAGCTTAGTCACGCAACTTGCTATGACTGCTATAGTTTCAAAATTTTACACGTGGGATAGAATATTTGGCTTGGGAAGAAACAAATAATTCTTTTTTCGAAAACCTTTGGGTACTTTTGCTTGCGCGTTGTGCGCGTGTGCATTTGTCAGAAGGGTGCACCCGTGAAAACTCATGGCCCGTATTCAGAAAACGCACCAATGCTAAGTTGTTCGCATAAAAAATAATAAATTTAGCTTCTCGCGATACTGAACATAATATTCGTGAAGATGGTTTGCGAACACCAAACAGTGCTTATACGGACGGCAGTCTTCGTGATAGGGTTTTCTTTGGTATTTCCCTACGAAAGCTGCCTTCCGCAAGAACGTAATCTTTGTTGCCCGGCAGCTATGGCTAATAAATTTGTTCAATATCAAGCCTGGCTGAAGTTTAATTGTTTTTAAAGAATACGGTAGCACCAAGGAGGATACATAAAACTTGCTTGGGTAGCACGCATTGTTTCTAATAACGGACAGTGTGCCCATATTCACGAAATAAAATCATTCTTTCGCTATAACCTTTCCTATTTCCTAAGACCGCATGCCTCCAACACATTTTGCTGAAAATGTTACCAAAGCGACGGGCGAATGATAAAGCCCTCACATACAAAAACTTTTGTCAATTCGGTACTAACAGCCCAATTCACATTTGTGTTCGTAATGTCATGCAGTTGATAAGTCCACCAAAGTTACTGGCTAGCATATAGTCATTCGAAGAGTTATAGTGGGAGGAAGTTTTCGTGAATAGAGGCAAAGTAATAATTATTATATTGCCCCGCCGCGGTGGTCTAGTGGCTAAGGTACTCGGCTACTGACCCGCAGGTCGCGGGTTCGAATCCCGGCTGCAGCGGCTGCATTTCTGATGGAGGCGGAAATGTTGTAGGCTCGTGTGCTCAGATTTGGGTGCACGTTAAAGAACTCCAGGTGGTCGAAATTTCCGTAGCCCTCCACTACGGCGTCTCTCATAATCATATCGTGGTTTTGGGACGTTAAACTCCACATATCAATCAATCACTAATTATTATATTGCGTGTGCGTTCTGCCGCACAGTAAATTGAAATGGGGCCGAATTCAAAGGTGTTTTCGTTCGCCAGGAGCATTTGCTGTCGTTCGGTGCTCTTCGATAGCCACAAATCCACATCACAATTTACCCGGCATGAGCTTACAAACAGTTTTACGCTTTCTTGATGTGACTTTTCAGTAACCTATATGAATATCGCATTTGTGCAGAGCAACCAGCCATGTAGGCCTTTTTTTTTTTCTTTGATAAGCAACGAACAACAGCGACTCGCGCCCTTCTCGTCCTCTCGCTTGTTTGCCATCGGCCCTGAGTTTTCCGGTGCCTGCTCTGAACTTGTTTTGGTGTGGTCGTCTATCTGAGAACAAGACGTCGTAACAAGTTGCTGTAAGGAAGCAGCGAGCGAGATGCCGTGCCAGAACAAAAGAATGCGTTGACAATATATATATATATATATATATATATATATATATATATATATATATATATATATATATATATATATATATATATATATATATATATATATATATATATATATATATATATATATATAAGCCGGAGGCGAAGGTATAGCCTGCTAAAGGTCCCCTACAAACAAGGTCTGAAAATACGATAACTGAAACCTTTATTCCCCCCGGCATTTCCAGTCTTTTGCAAACAAGTCATGACGCCAGCTGTTTGTTCACGTGGCGTCAGAATGAAATGAATTCTCGATTGGTCGTTACACGAGAGATATATGTGGTGAATTGTCTTCTACCCTGCTTTGCCATGCAGTCGCTTGCCCGTTGTGCCATGTTCTGCCTTGTCTGGCTTGACTATAGTGCGCGATAAACTGCATTCTCTTCGTTTTCTGCGTTTGTGACTGCGCAAGTGGAGATAGCAGCCTGTTGTCGAAAAGCGCGAAATCCTGACTGGCTCAACGCGTAGTGCTGACACTAGACGTCTTTTATGAAGAAATAAGCGGCGAGGAGGGGACGGCGCTTGTAGGAAGGGTTGTGAAGGCGAGAAAAAAACTACAGTTTCGCCATTTAACTCGGTGTGGATAGAAAAATATTCTCAGATCTGCTCACTGCCACCGTGACGTCACTCGTTTTACCCGAGCGAGCGCGCGTACGGGTGTCTGTGAACCTATTGTTGTGTATCTCTTACTAGAAAAGGCATACTTAAGTAACTATAAGGACCGTAGCGTTTATCACTTTGTGCTGAATAGGCAACGCTTGCACGAAAAGGCAGCGTTTCCAACGCTTCGCTCAGACGACATGGTGGTGGCACCTACCCATCGTCTTGCGTTCTACACCTTATCACCTCCAAAACGCGCTCGCAGGGTGCACGCGTTACGTTTTCCAAGATAACTACCAGATAGCGCTCATGTCTCACATGTGACGTGACTTGATGCACTCGTTCGCCTCCGCTGCACGCTCGAGGCACTCTCACGCAGCGCCTCCAGTATACCATTTACCGATTTTCTTGCGCAGAACATCAAATAAACGTTTTGTTCCCTCTCTCCAGACTAAGACTATCGTCTTTCGACGACATTTGCAGTGTAACATGCAGTTACGGGGCCATTTTTTTACTTTTTTTTTTTGCTAACGATGTGAGTCATGGGAAGCAATGAAGATGGCGTTTTCAAAAAAAATATTTTTTTTGTTTCCCAATATAAACCGCTTCATTTCTCTTTACTGTCAAAATAATCTCATATACATCACCTTGAAAAGGCTCCTTTCTGGAGCCAGGCTATATATATATAGAGAGAGAGACGATAGTTCGTTTCTGTTGTCTAAGAGTGTTGTATCAAGGTCAATTATCAAAAAAGGTATATTGTTCTCGTGTATTTCTTTTTTCAAGTGCCAGACTACGAAAGCGCACATGTTCTATAAGGGCGAACCTCCAGACAGTGCTTACAGTAATACCAACAACGATATTTTAGGTTACACACAGGTACACTTGCCCAATGGTCTTCTGCCGGACACGAGTTTATGTAGTCAACGTTGGTCGTTTGCTGTTTGAAATTCGCTGCACGGTGGAGCTGATGGCGATATATCTTCGACGTCCTTGCCTCCGTTTTGTTCGTCCCGCAGCCTTTTCGCGTGAATGCGGCTTTTGTCCGATGCTTACAAATCACACCCATCCGGTGCAAACGTGGTCCAGCGTTTAGCCCAGCGGAGAAGCGCGGGCCGTGACCAGCGCGCACCAACGGAGTTGCTGCAGGCAGGCCATCTGTTTCAATCGACATTCACGGCACGGAAAACCCCTTGAAACTCATTAGTCGGAACGATGCCGCAATTGCACGACTCTAACAAGTGAAATGGACACTGTTACCAGCATGTCTCTTCCTGTTTAGTTCCAGAAACGCTACCGTGAAGCGGGGAGATATTATGGCTGATTCATACTTCACGTGTATGAACCATGATTGTACAATTTTCTTGTCAGATGATTTTGTCCACATTAGCAGTTCTTTACAGTATCGTGAGGCGAAGCCTTGCACAAATGTGTTGTCTACTACCGTGAAGCCCCATGACTCATCCCGCACACTGTGACTCTAATCTAATACTTAAGCATTCAATAATTTTTGTGTTTACAATTTTTCCAAAGCTCGAATTGAAGAAAATGGCAAACCGCGCAATAAACAATGAGGTAACACTTGTTTAGACAAGTACAGGGAACTTTTTTAAGATGAAGACAAAGCTAATAATTCGCAAAGGTTCAGTACAGAAGCCATAGTTTCGGCAATAAGATACTCATGGGGCTGACAACGCGTTTTTTGAGGCAGTACTAATATCAGCGTCCTTGAAAGACTCTGCTAATATTTACCCCTATCGGACATTTTACCTGTGAAAGACGGGGCTAGCAGTTTAGGCAAGCACAGGAAGTGGAATTTCTCAAATGTATGTAATAAGGAAGTGTGAACATAAGACTCGTTTGCTTTTTTAGACACAATATTAATGAGAACTAAGAGACAATAGTGATTCTAAGAGAAGTATAGGGTACGTTAATAGAAGTAATTGTAATGTAAATATGAAGAATGAAAAGTGAACGAAAAGAATGCAAGTTATATTTTTGTCCACTTTTTTTCATCACATTTACATTACAATTACTTCTATTAACGTACCCTATACTTCTCTTAGCATCATTATTGTCTCTTAGTTCTCAATATTATTGTGTCCAACAAGTGTATGCAAGGGATAATGAGGAGGGACGTGCTATTACAAGCTCTAGGAATAACAGCGTTTCAGATCGAGTTTGTTTGCTGCCCATTGATTAAAGATAACAGTAAAGGAATACGCAGGAAGCGATGAAGGGCACAAATGTTTTGTTCTGTGCAGTCCGTTTGTTCGTTCCTCTGTTTTGTTTAGTTATGTTAGACGGCAAGTGAGGTCATGCCGGTATTCATGTTTTGTTTAGTTAGGCTACACAATGAGCTCGTTGAAATTTCACAAGTGAGCTACGAAACTGTCCGTCACGTTTGCTAACGAACACTTCTGGTAACTGCAGTTCGTAACATTAGTAGCAAATAATGACTATTAGGCTTTTCCTAAAATAACGTAGCTGCATTATTATTATCAGTACTGTTCGTATGAATAGGCTTATCTGATACATAAAAGACCGCTTACAGGCTGCTTACAGGCCGATATGAAAGAAGACCAACAAGCAATTGTGTGTTTGCCGCAGTGACAGAAGAGTTCAGACAAGAGCAAGATACCCACGCTCTAACCGCGTGAATGCATACCTGGGGCTTAGGCAGAATTTTTTTTTTTTTCAGGGGTGGCGTTCTACTACTCTCTATGGTCGTGCGTGCGCTGGTTTGTATGCGGGTGTGTATAAATGCCGATACAAAAATTTTTAATTTTCTTGGGAGTTTAACCTCTTCCACCCTTCTTGGTATACGCCAGTGATGCATACTGATAGATCGCAGATAATAGAAGGAGCTGCCGCTAGATTTTTCGAAGAATATTTCGTACACATACTTTACTACGCAAAAGTGCTATAAATACACATTTCAAGAACTCGCGTGTAAAGTCAACCGACCACGTCAAACAAGCTTAGCAACGGCACGTGACACGGCAGCACAGATCATCACAGATTGCGTCACATGCGAGAAGTGCCTCTTCATCTTTTCGAGTTAACAAAGAATAAAACAACGTACATTGATTGATTGATTTGTGGGGTTTAACGTCCCAAAACCACGATATGATTATGAGAGACGCCGTAGTGGAGGGCTCCGGAAATTTTGACCACCTGGGGTTCTTTGATTGATTGATTGATATGTGGGGTTTAACGTCCCAAAGGGGGGGGGGGGGTTCTTTAACGTGCACCCAAATCTGAGCACACGGGCCTACAACATTTCCGCCTCCATCGGAAATGCAGCCGCCGCAGCCGGGATTCGAACCCGCGCCCTGCGGGTCAGCAGCCGAGTACCTTAGCCACTAGACCACCGCGGCGGGGCACGTACATTGCAAAGCACAATGAGCTGGAAGGTGCCCTTGATATAGACAGCTTGTGTATACAGGGTGTTTCAAGAAATGTGTCCAATATTCTTTAAAAATCACAGAAAGGAAATATCTGCATGCTACTTGCGGCGTTGTCTTTCCTGTGGCAAAAGGCATCTTCAGAGGCGCACAAACATTCATTGCGGCAGTAATTGTACAAAATAGCACAATTAACTTTTTAAGCAGTGGCGATAGCCGGTCTAGTCAAATGGGCGAATTCAAGCCCTCCCTACGAATAGTCTATAGCCACTTTGAAACTCTGGGAAAACGGCCACTGGTAATCACCGCGGAGTGATGCAATGAGCCTAATTTAACTGGAGAAACCAAAACTGACGCACCAAACAACGCATCTGCAATTCACCTATGCAACGCCCTCATTGACGACACTCTTTCCCTCGGCGTTATGAGCTCTCAATTTAAATACTTTGCTAACTTCGCTTCGAAGCCGCTTATCGACGCTCGCTCATATTCTTCTCCACCTATGTGAGGAAATCAATGTGATCATTGGGGGTGTTGTCGAAGTGAATGGTAGATGCGCTGTTGGGTGCGTCAGTTTTGGTTTCGGCAGCTAAATTGGTCAGATTGCATCGCTCCGAGGTGATTACGAGTGGCCGCTTTCCCAAAATTTCAAAGTGGCTATTCGTAGGAAGGACTTGAATTCGTTCGTTTGACTCGACCGGCTATCACCAGTGGTTAGAAGTTAATCGTGTTAATTTCCGTAGTTACTGTAGGTTTTAATGTGTGTGCCCATCTGAAGATGTCTTCTGCCACAGGAAAGCAACGCCGAAAGTAGCACGCCGATACCTCCTTTCTGTAATTTTAAAAGGATATTGGACACATTTCTTCAAACACCCTGTGTATGTTCGTATCGGTCCTTTTTTGTAGTACAGCTCGTACCAGTGCAAACATATGAGTTTTCTGTATAGATAGAGAATATTGAAGACCGAAATTTCTCTGCAAGGTAGCAGATAACAATTAATCAATCGTGATGTAACTACAGTACACCAAAATATGCCATGGATGATGCATCATGATATGACCGTGGGAGAGACTAGTTTTATCAAGTTTACTGACTCAACGTCGAAATGCCTGTAAATTATGCTTGCGTGTGTAATTAGCTAGGAAATAATCCACTTAATCAGCTAGCGGATAGTTAACTAGCCTGTGGCAGTAATGCAACTATTGCAGACGAACTCCACGTCGATCTGCCCAATAGTTGATGATTCAACAGTTTCTAATAAACAAATTTAATAAGTGCACAACCACAAGTGGTGAGCCCAGTTGTGCCACGAATATTCCAGTACCATTCGTGGAGACATGTGAAGCTCACTCAGATTCACAATATTTTTTTTTCAGCCGGACTCACTCGGACTCAGGCGCACGAAAATATTACTACAAGACCTACCGCTCTATATGAGTCTGTGTGCGTGGACTGATGAGTCTATCAGCGTACAATTGGCTTTTTCGAAAGTAGTGTCAATGCTATTTAACACCAATATATCGTGTAATCGGTACTCTACTTGGCACCTTTTGATCTCATACCTTTAAATATGTGACATCAGTGGTTGGAATCCAATAAGGACTTTTTTTAATGACTCACACGACACATTTCTATCCAGAATTCTATGTAAAAGATCTCCAGGAATAAGAGGTGGGGGGGGGGGGGGCTGAAGTCGCGGCCCCCCTTCTTCAGTAACTCACGCCTTTGATCACTCAATATTAAGCTGGCGTATGAACGATGTTGCCTTGAAGTATATACAAATCGTCGTGAGTATAAACGTTAGCCGACGTTAGGCTGATGGTACCGTTGAAGTGAAGTAAATAGAACCATAGATCGGCAAGAAATTGTAGAAGAGCTCACTCAGACTCACTCAGGAAATACATTTTGCACTAAGGTTTCTCTCGGACTCACATACTCCCCTTTTTATATTAACACGGGGCACATGGGCTCAAACTGACTGAAATATTTCTCCTCCGGACTCAGTCAGACTCATGGCTCAACCTGAATCTGAGTGGGTCGACTCATGAGTGACCGACCTATGTAAGTTCGCTGACTTGAAACATGTAAGTCACTATATCTTGTTGTTCCAAGCCGAAGGAAATACAAAGAACTCTCACTTGAGTGAACTGCCATCGAGCGTCGGCTACGCCCGTTGGCGAGACCGGCGGATTGTGCGGCTGAGTGCCTGTATGTGGAGCCATCTGCCGCCGCTCCTGCGCTGCGGCGGGAGAGCGCGCCTGTTGTTTTGCTCGGCGCGCATGCCCGGTGCAGAGAGCTTCGACGAAGACGATGGGGTGCGGGCCTTCGGAGCTTCGTTCCTAAAAGAGAAGTGATGCTCACGTGGCTTATTTTTGTCTCCTGTCCGGTCGTTTTTCCCCAACAGTGCTTCTTGAACAAGTGATGTGACACAGCCGCCGATAGATGCACGATTTGGGGGAGGCGTGCATCGGCTACGCCAGCGCTGCGGAACGAAAAACTTCGTTGAATTGATCTGCAAAATGAGCTGGGTCCGCTGATCAAGTTCGTCCAACTGAAATATTCACCATTCAGAAATTTATTCAACATAATATTTTGTATACACAGGAACATTATCGGGGATTATCTAAAAGTTGGTTATTCTGAAATATTCCTCAAACCGACGTTCGTGCAAGTGAGAGTTCACTGTATGGACCGTCAAATGAAACTTCCATTAATTTATTTGTCTTGCAGCCTATTGGCATGTGGATTTATGCTTACTGAGTACCTTGTGGAAAATGAATCAATTTTTTGATAATTTTAGATGGCAGTGATCACGAATTGATTTATTATATATATGTGTACAAGCTGTCATGAATCATCTGCGGCATCACGCATTGCCGGGCAGTAAAGGACTTAAGTGTCTGCAAGCGTATCAATAATAAGAAATACATCCAGTGTTTCATATGCAGAGATTAAATTTTGATTTGGCTCGTGGATCAATGTGCTATGACTACAGCTATCGTTGAAATTATGCCTCCTGCTGGCTGTGAAAAAATGTACGTAGGCAAACGAGTTTTAGTTCATTGTATGCGAGTTTCGGAACTCGGTAATAAAGCACCCTTGTCAACGTAAGATCGCGCCCTCCGCGAATATCTGCGGTAGCGTGCCATTGGCGGACCTGCTCGAAAAAGCCATGCTAAAACTATGCTACACAAAAAGTGCAGCTGTACCTGTTGAAGTGATAAACATTACACGGAAGGCATAAGATAGTGTTACAGAATATGTTCGGAAAAGCGAAACGCTTGCTTCACAGAATTTCGTTTAATTGAAATGCGTTATTATTGGGTTCGATGGCACTTCGGTGGAGGATTTCAAAAGTACTCCTACAACTCAACAGTTTAACTGGCCAACGCCTCCCCTATTTTATCAATGCCAGCCATATGCGCCCGATCCAGCCGTTCACCACCCTCACCTCTGGCCATTCCTTGCTCTCGCCCATCGCTATAGCGTTCGTAAGTGCTTTGCGTGCAGTCACGGAGCAGAGAGCCCATCATGCAGTGCCTTACGGCGGAAATGATACGAAGTAATTTTTTGTTCAGTTGTGTACAGATCCGTGAGGCTGCGTCTCGAATTCCTCGTGTTTACTATGTTTGCGGTCACGCAGGCATGCACTGTAAAAGATACGGTGTTTCGAGATAGTGCGTCGCCGTTCGTGGCGCTGTGCGGGCAACCAATACTCTGGAGTTATCGCTATAGGAGCCACATAGGTTCCAGAATAATCTGTCTTGTTCGCAATGTGGGCGTGACTTTAACGAAATGGTCTACTACAGACCCGAAGCTTCTCGAACTCTGCAGGCGCAGTTTGCGCTGAGAAATACGTATACGTGCAACATGGCGATAACAAAACTTGAGGAAGGACGATAGTTATAGCGCGAGAACAGAACGACGACAAAAAGACAAGAAGGACATGGGCGCTTTGTCGTCGTTCTGTTCTCGCGCTCTAACTATTGTCATGTCATACCAACTAGCCCAAACTGCCACACTTTGACGAAGGAACGTGGCAATATCTTTGAATCTATTAGATCACTCTTCCGGAGAGTGATGCATGCGACATTCGACATGTGTTTATGCGCAGACGCTGCCGGAGGGCTACAACGTATCAGTCATTATGGACACGTGGACACGCCAGATGGGCTACCCGGTGGTAACCATCAGTCGCAGCCCCGACGACCCAACGCTCATACGAGTGGTCCAGGAACGCTTCCTGCGCAATACGCAGCACCAGCGAAACGAATCCGACGTTTCTCCTTACGGGTGCGTGGCGAGGCTGCTAATCTGCTGTGCCGTTGAGTACACACACTTTATGCAATTTCCCAGTGATGGCTTTCTAGCGCACAGCCACGTTGCATACTTAAAACCACGGGCACTTCACTCGTAATTAAAGCAAAGCTTCTGCGTTCAGTATGCGCAAATTAAGTAATTGGTACACTCGTTGCACATCGTAATTCATAAGAACGTTGGTTCAGAAAGCCTTGTTTCTTGCAAAAGAATGTCGCATGAAAATGACTTAATCGGCATTTCTATAGTAGTTTTTTACATACCCTGTGCTTATGATATGCGCTGTAATATGGCATTTTTCAGCTTTTCAACCATAAGGTGTCTTTGCCCTATAGTCATGATTCTCTAACTTCATCTATTACATGTTGCTACTAGGTCCTAGAAACATTGAATGAACTGAACGAATTAAATTCAAGTAGATGCCAAGACGCACGACGGGAGCATGACTTTCTGACTATCACCATCTTCTCGTAATTTTATATCTCGCTCGTACAGACGCTTACAAGTGCCTAAAACCTCTATCAGCACTTGTTGAACCGGTCTTAAGAACCTCAACAAATAATCCCTCATAAAAATTTATTGTTTTTCTGTTCTTTCTGTCTGACTGTAGGTACAAATGGAGCATACCTCTCAGCTACAAGACTTCGGCGGCAAAAAATAAAGTCAAGCAGATCTGGCTTCACGACGAACAAGGTCACATAAGCGCATGCATTTTTTAAACCTCAAAACACAGGCAGATTTCACTGGCACGCGCACTGCTTATTTTGTGTTCTCGTAGTTGCCTGACCATTACGACGACAAAAACTGGGTTATGTACAGTCGAGTGCATAATTTTAGAGACCACGGGAGCGCGTGCCGAGGCGCGTCGCTGCGCCATCTGGCGGCTGCACGGCTCCGCCCGGGAGCGCGTACTGCGCACGCTCGTCCCATATCACCCGGCAGCCTGCCCTTTCGCTCGTTTCAACGGCGCGCATCTCGAAACGATGCGTACGGTGCAAGTTGTCCCTTCTGTAGTCGCTGTGAAGACAATGAAAAAAGCCGAGCGCTAATGTGACGACAGCACATCATTTGCGGGTTTCGGCGTGCTGCACATAGTGCACGTTACTCCTAGGCAATCCGCGGCGTGATCACATTTTGAATGTAGAGTTAGGCAATCAATAAGCTCAGCCAACAGTGTTGCCTTTCGTGCTCTCATTCGCCGAACTAACGCACGTAGTAATACTCGGTCCAAATATCATGTGTCAATGAACATGCATGAAACCACCAAACGTACAACAGCTGCAGAAAAGAGCCGAGGGAGAAAGGTGAAAACAAACTCGGTTTATTAAGGATAAATCCTTTATTCAGGCCGCTGCGGTGGTGCAGTGGTTTCGATGCTCGGCTGCTGACACGAAAGACGCATCTTCAAGTCTAGTCACGCATGTCGTAATTCGATAGAGGAGACATACTTGAAACTAATTGATTGATTTGTGGGGTTTAACGTCCCAAAACCACCATATGATTATGAGATGCTGTAGTGGAGGGCTCCGGAAATTTCGACCACCTGGGGTTCTTAACGTGCACCCAAATCTGAGCACACGGGCCTACAACATTTCCGCCTCCATCGGAAATACTTGAAACTAGTATACTGAGTGGACGTTAAAGAACCCCGAATGAGCAAACATTCCCAAGACGTTACTTTGGTGGAGCTCTATGTCATATCTATATAATAAATTTTTTTTCTCTCTCTATATCGTGGTTCTGTCATGACGAGAGCCCGCACTTATTATTGGTAGGAGTCGAGCCTCGACGCAACAGTTTCTAGGATTCGAATTTCAGATATTCAATTGTCGTCTTCTACTACTCAAACTATAAACCCCGATTGAAGTCAACCCATTAATTGGATGCATTATAGTAGATTAAGACAAGTAAGCGTGAATTAATGCGGATTGAGACGTGCAAGAGATGTCATAGGCTTTCACTTTCGAGTAATTTCCTACTTGGGGGTATCTGGGAATGTTTTTTTCCGGAAACCAGAGAAAATCACGAAGGTTGAAAGGGGCGTCACCGCTTTCAGTATTTCAATAGAACTCTACCCATGACATATGCACGGAACATTCTCGAACACGAAGTAGTCGGGAATTGAGACTGCCTCCATTAGCATCCGTCGCTCGAGCATCAGCGTGTATTCTGGTATTCTGGTCACGTTGTTTTGTAAAATACTGGAGTGAATTACAGGCGAGCACATTTCAGTTCGAAGTGCTCAAATGTTGGAGGCCCCACAAGAAAACAAAATTTAATTCCTTAAGCTGTTCGACCAAATATTTCGCACGGCGGCACACCGCTCCTTTTGTACATATTACTCACTGCGTGGAAATGCGATTCTTTATTATAACACTCTCAGAAAAATTGGGCACTCAGAAGGTTCACGCGTGCTTGCGACGCAGGCGCAGTACCATTTTGTCATTTTTGTCAATTCTTTGCCTTGTTTCGTGTTCTTTCGGGCTTGGTGACAATAAGAAATTATCTTGTACAGCAAATGTTGAATGGCAGCATATCGCGGCACAGCCCTGCTATTAGGCAGTTATTGGAGAGTGCCATTCTCGAAAGAGTATAACATCGGGGGTTTCAAGGCCCCCACATTCGTCTTCAAAAATGTCGCCACGAGTACCAGCTGATGGAAGGAGACGCATCGTAGAGTTAAGCATCTAAGGCTTTTCTCAGCGGCTCATCTGCCGGCTCCTTCAAAGGTCAAGAAATGCGGTGAGTCGTGTCATCCAAGCGTACCGACAAACAGCAGGGATCAGTGACAGAGGCCGTGCTGGAAGGTCAAGATGCACAGATGACGAAGTGGACAGGCGACGTAGTAGCTGATCCCCATATAACAGCGAAAGGCATAAAAGATGCATTGCATCTCAACGCATCCGCCTGGACTATCCGTAAGAGGTTGGCAGAAGCAGGGCTTGCCAACTGCGTCGCGACCCAGAAGCCCCACATCACGGACAGGCAAAGATCCATGCGACTGCTGTTTGCACGTTCTGTGCAGACATGGTGATCAGAAGAGTGGGTGGAAGTCGTGTTCAGCGATGAATAAACGTTTTCAAGTCGCTGGTATCAGGAACGGCGAGTATGGCGTCCAGTGAACTCGAGGTAACATTTGCGATTTGTCTTCTACATTAATGTCATCCTTGTACTATTTACAATTGAATGTGTAGAAAGAGTAGTGCACAGGGTAAGTAACCGCAGCTGGTAAAAATTAATGGCAGGTCACCCATTACAGTGCGCCTTAATTACGTTGTGGTTAAGGCAAGTAAAGCCCAGCACTTTATTTTCTTCTAACTTGCTGTAGAACGTTGCTTAGCTTTGATTCTCTTTAAGCTGTGTTACTTCTTATCGTGAGCAGCTCGCCAAACTTAAGCACCTTAGCCAATGTTTGTATATTGTACCTCATTACCTTAGAAAAATACAGTTGAGTTTGCGAGGAGGGTGCCTTACCAACATGTCGAATATTTCGCACCATCTTGGCGTTCTCGCATAATTAAAATTTCATTATATGGATCTTCAAGTAAGACGAAATTGTTTGGGGATAAAGTGACTATGAACCATTGTCATTCTTGTAAATCCGTGTAACCAATCCAGCATTTCCTTCCTCGCCAGGTATTCACCACAGTACACGCAGTCGGTCTTTGCCAGTGGCCGATGCTCTGTGAGTGTCTGGGCCGCCATGACCAGGGAAGGACTTGGACCACCGGTTCTTATCGATGGGAACCTTTCAGCCTCCACGTTCTCCTATATAATAGAGAGAGAATTGCTTCCTTATGTCTTGAGTGGGCCGTTCAAGGATGGTTGTTTCGTGTACCAGCATGACTGGAGCCCGATTCACACTGCTTGCATTGGGAAATCTTTGCTTGAGAACCTTGTCGTTCACACATTGGAATGGCCACCTGTAGGAGCGGACCTGAACCCCATTGAAAACGTCTAGAGTCTCGTGAAACACCGACGTGCGGCGCGGAATCTTGGAACTTCAACGAAGGAGACCCTATTCGCGGCCATACAGGAGGAGTGGGACGCATTTCGTTCACGCCCCGAGATCGTGGCCGCGCTTTACAATTCGATGCCATCTCGTGTGGCGCAAGTGATTGCCGCCGATGGGCGTTTGAATAAATACTCAAAGTAGTGATCTTTCCTGGATAGCAGTTATAGATATCGTTTTCTTTTTTTCTGGCTTATAATAATAAACTGTTTATCGCGTTTCCTGGCTATTCATTCTGGACGCGCGATATTCAGTGGTTTACTGCATACCACTGCACGCGCGATATTCGCACCAAGAAATGGAGCTGGCATAACGTCTCTGAGACAGAGCACAAAATTCATCCCTGCAAGATTAGCATATCACGCAACTCCGTTTGAGAAAAGCTGCGAAACTGCATGTTTTCCGCGCTGCATGAAGGAAAAAAGCGTATTGCATGGCGCGGTCGAGCCGTGCTATTACATTAGAGGCATTTTCGCCGCTATATTATCGCTCAGGGGACCGGTGCTTGCACAGCGACTGCAGAAGTGGCACCTTGCGCCGTCCGCATCGTTTAGAGATGCGCGCCGTTGAAACGAGCGATAGGGCAAGCTGCCGGGTGATATGGGACGAGCGTACGCAGTACGCGCTCCCGGACAGAGCCGTGCAGCCGCCAGATGGCGCAGCGACGCGTGCGCTCCGCACGCGCTCCCGTGGTCCCTAAAATTATGCACTCGACTGTACGTGTTTGGTACTTTACCGATTCTAATCATATATCCTTCTAATCTTTGTTTTCTGGCTCATAAAATAGTGTCTTTTAAACTCAGGTGATGAAAAGGAAGAAAAATGCTGTGCAATGTGCAAGGTAAAATGAATACACATTACTTAATGAATAACTTGTAATGAGTACATGATTTCAAACAATTAACTATAGGCGCTTGTAGCCATGCATGCACTGACCGCCCCAAGCGGTCCTCTATTTCAGAGCATGAGATTCCACTGCAATATTCTGTATTTTTGTCTTTTTTTAACATGGCACACGTGCATGTGTGTTCATTGACCAATTGCTCTAGATTGCAGTGTAACTGAAACTTTTTAGTTTATTTTTAGCAAAGCATTTCATTCACATTTGTGTCTTCGTATAGCATCGGCGCAACTTCATCTGAAGCTGTACCTCGTTCTCTCATGTTTTTGGTGTTTTATTTTTCTGACTCTGTCTCCTTCAGATGAATTCCACATTTACGACGCCGGGCAGCATGGCTGGGTTAAGTTTAACGTCAACCAGACCGGCTACTATCTGGTCAATTATGACCCAACCGATTGGCAGCGGCTCGGAGAGGTTCTTCAAAAGCACCACGAGGTAAGGGCTGTAGGCGCATAGCTACACGTAATGTTTAAAAAAAAAATGTGGCCTGAATTTCGTCGTGTGTGTCAACAGTACGGTGAACAACCACGACACAAGTCTATTGTTTGTAAATACCACACACATATAACGTTTCCTCGTATGGCATTGTCAAAGTTACCACGTTGAATTATTTATTGTGATGGCAGTTATATGGACACTCTCGGCTGGATTTTGCCGCTGGCGTTGCCGTCATCACTCACTGTATATGTTATATATATATTGTCACGTGCTTGCTCAAGAAAGACGATGGCAGTTGTGCATGTGCCACGAAAGACTACGAAATGGACAAAAAAGAAGAACTCTCTTGATAGCTTGTAGTTCTTCATTTTTATTTATTTATCGTGAATACATTGAAAGGCTGACGACAAAAGCTGCATACAAGCAGCTTGACAGGCCCGTCAGCCCAATTCAAACGTCAACAGCAGACGGCAGATATGCATGCTGTAGAAATTTACAGTAATAGACACAACACACCAAAGTATCGCAATTCTATTGCGATAACAAAAATATGAAAGCAAAAAATATATGCACGCTAACAACTAAACAAAGAAACGATATTGTATTCGAAAAACATGGGAACGCTACAAACAAGAAAAAGAGAAACGACGAGGCAATACTGAAACATACAAAAGTGCAAATAGTGTCAATTTACAAAAAAAAGAGGCACCGGTAAAAGAAGGACTGATAATAAAAAGTATACATATGAGCTACTGCACACAACAGAACAGGAATAAGCGCTTCAAAAAAAATGGTTACACCAATCAGGGTATCACCCACACTGAGATGCATATGCACTAAAATGTTACACATAGGAAAACCAACGGCTAGTAATTGAAGGCCCGAAAAATTGGATGCGTAATGCATTAAAACGGTACACACAGGAAAAAAAGTAATGTTTGTTGTTGAAGGCGCGAGAAATTTGAGTAGCAAAGAGAGGGAGTAAAAAGAAGGTCTGTAATGAAGGTCCGCAAGGCAGAATCTTGCGCGTTCTATTAAAAGAACCTACCTGCTTCTGGTGTCTCAGTTTCTGCGGCAAGACCTCTGTTTTGACGTCGTGACACTGGTGGAGGTGCCGGAGCCTACAACCTGATGCAGGACAGTCTTGCTCGGACCCATTCACCTAGTCCAGAGACACAGCCCCTCGTCACGACTCCAGAGCACCGATTCAGTCGGCGCCTACTAGGCCCAAGTCCAGAGTCCGCACCTGTTCCGCCTCTTTCCAGCATGGCAGCTCCTACGACATCCACGGTTATCCCGCCATCGCAGACCACTCTTCCCTCACAGGTAACTCTTGAACATATCGCGTTCCTGAAGTTTTCCGTGGGGAAGAGTACGAGGATGTCGAGGACTGGCTCGAACAGTTCGAATGGGTCGCTGTATCCAACCACTTGAGCGAACAGCACAAACTTGGCCGTGCATATTTCGCACTGGAAGATAGCGCTCGCACGTGGTATGAGGACCGCGAGGCTACATTCCAATCTTGGGAAGACTTCCGTCGAAAGCTCCTCGCTACATTTTTGAACTCGGACCGACGGGATCGCGCACAGCAAGTGATTGAGGCACGCGTGCAAAAACCCAATGAAACAGCCGCCATGTACGCAGAGGGTATGATCCATCTGTTTCGACGAGCTGACCCTGACATGCCCGAGGCGAAGAAGGTGCGTCATTTAATGCAGGGTGTTAAGGAACAAGTGTTTGCGGGCCTCGTACAAAATCCACCTACAACAGTAGATGAATTCATAAGAGAGGCGACAGTCATCGAGCGCGCACTGCAACAACGACGCCGACACTTTGACCGCCTGCAGAGCCACACGGCAGTAAGTGCTGCAGCTCAGAACACTGCCGTATGCGAAAGTTTCCTGCGACAAATGATTAGGGAAATACAGCGTGAGGAACTTCGGGCCCTCTGCGTTCCCCCTGCCCAACCGGCAGTCACATGTGTTGCCGAAATCGTCCGCCAGGAGTTGAGGCAAGCCATTACACCACCCGCGCCAAGTCCTGAGCCACATCAAGCGAGCTACGCTGATGTGGTCCGTCACCCTCCTCCGACATTTGTGGCGACGCCCTTCCAGCCCCGACCCTCTGCCGTACCTTGGTGGCAACGGGATTCTACGAGACGACCACCAGTTCGCCGAACTGGCTTGTGGCGCATGGCCGACCGTCGACTTATTTGCTACCGCTGCGGAGAACCCGGTCACATTGCCCGCTATTGCCGTCACGGCGATTCTGGGTTAGGGAACTTTTCTCGTCCCGCTTCTTTCCGCTCCGAAGACCGTCGTGCCGATCAACTATCGCCTGCCCAAGCAACCCCCCCCCCCCCGCGTCGCTGGCGATCTCCATCACCTGCGCGTCACCGTGACTTCCCTCAGAGCTACGCGGACGTCACTAGAGGCCGTTCGCCTAGCCCGCTCCGGGGAAACTAACTGATGCGACCTCGGGGGGCATGGTTGCCAATCGTCGACACACTGAAAAGTTCCCCCAATCATCGCAAGAAGGTATGGCGACAACGACGATGAATACGACGACGAATAATAATACTGATGAAGTTGTACGTGCCGATCTGAGCGTTCTCATTGACGGACATCACGTTACAGCACTGGTCGACACTGGCGCCGACTTCTCAATCATGCGACAAAAGCTCGCCGACCGCCTTAGAAAGGTCAAGACACCGTCGACAGGGCTGCACATAAGGAGTGCTGGTGGTCAGCTGATGACACCCACGGGTAAACGCACCACTAGACTTCGCATCGGGGATTCTAGCTTCGTGGCCACTTTCGTCCTGTTGCGAGACTGCAGTAAAGAGTTAATTTTGGGCATGGATTTTCTTCAAGATCATGGCGCTGTTATCAACATCCCTCAACGTATAGTGACGTTTTGCGCACATCCTTATGCCGACAACAGCAGTGAAGAACCACGCGGCCGTTTGCGAATAGCCGACGATGTGACACTCCCACCGAGATCCTGCTGCCTTGAGTCGGTGTCCAGTGGGTGTCCTTGCTATAAAGATGTGATAGTGGAGCACATAGTCACTCTTTTGTTCACGCAAGGAATTTCCATCGCGAGGGGCGTCCTGGCGCTTACTGGTGAACAGGCAGAAGTGCTCCTCACAAACTTCAGCAACGAGCGCCGTCAAATTCAGAAGGGTACCGCAATCGCCTACTACGACGATGTAGACCAAGCCGGGGATTGTTTTACCTTGCAACCAGATGACGCGGCTGTCCCCGCCTCGACAACTTTGTCGGTGTACATCTGCTCTACGCTACCACCCTCTGATAGGAAGCGCCTGCTTGAACTTATACACCGATTCGAAGACTACTTTTCGCGTACGTCAAAGGTACAGCAAACACCATTGACCAAGCACCGCATCATTACTGAAAACAACACGCAACCGATTCGGCAAAACCCCTACCGTGTGTCTCCGAAAGAGCGCGAGGAAATTCAGAAGCAAGTACACAAGATCCTCGCGGATGACGTCATACAACCGTCGAAAAGTTCTTGGGCGTCCCCCGTGGTTTTGGTCAAGAAAAAAGACAGCAGCTTGCGCTTCTGTATTGAGTATCGCAAGTTGAACCAAGTCACGAAGAAACACGTCTATCCACTGCCCCGCATAGACGATTCACTCGATCGGCTGCGTTATGCGCGCTATTTCTCTTCAATGGACCTCCGAAGCGGCTACTGGCAGATAGAAGTCGACGAGAGAGATCGTGAAAAAACGGCCTTCGTGACGCCCGACGGCCTATATGAATTTAAGGTGCTTCCTTTTGGTTCGTGCTCAGCGCCAGCCACATTTCAGCGCCTCACGGACACCGTACTATCAGGTCTGAAGTGGCAAACATGCTTGGTCTATCTGGACGATGTTATTGTATTCTCAGCAACATTTGAGGAACATCTCAGCCGTTTAGTCACCGTCCTCCAAGCCATACGTTCGGCCGGCCTTACTTTAAAACCGGAAAAATGTCATTTTTGTTTTAACGAACTCAGCTTCCTAGGCCACGTCGTCAGTCACGAGGGTGTTCGACCTGACCCGGCCAAAATAGACGCCCTAGCGCAATTTCCTGCACCACGCGACAAAAAGGCCGTGAGACGCTTTTTAGGGTTGTGTGCCTATTACCGGCAATTTATTGATAATTTTTTGTCTATTACGGCGCCATTGACACGACTCACACGTGAGGACGTCCCCTTCTTTTGGGGCGAACAACAGCAAATAGCGTTCAATGAACTACGACAACGCCTGCAAACACCTCCAGTCCTCGCGCACTTCGACCAGGAAGCCCCTACAGCACTTCACACTGACGCCAGCAATGTAGGTCTGGTTGCCGTTCTGGTGCAGTGGCAAGACGGCTGTAAAAGAGTAAAAGAGTAATAACCTACGCCAGCAGAACTCTCTCTCGCACGGAGGAGAACTACTCGACCACCGAGAAGGAGTGTCTCGCCGTGGTGTGGGCGGTCATCGAATTTCGTCCGTATTTGTACGGCCGCTCCTTCAAGGTTGTTAGCGACCATCACTCTTTGTGCTGGCTCACCAACCTTAAAGATCCATCTGGTCGTTTGGCGCGCTGGAGCCTAAAGTGCCAACCACTGGCACGCGTATGCACGCGCCTACGCATCAAAAGCGTCTAGTCGCGCCTGTGGAGGAAAAGGGCGCGCAACTACTGGCACGCGTCGACCGCGTTGACGCCCACGCGTCCAAGACCGATGCACAATGTTGTTTTATCTTTTTGCTTAGAACTGTCCAAGTTCAGCACAGAACGGCACATTCTCAACTGGAGCGGGAGTGTATAATTTAGAGGATATGAGAACACGTTAACAAGTTGATAGTGCTTCAACCACCACAGTTGTAGACTATTTTAGAAGTAATTGACATTTCAGTGCCCAAAGTAACAACAGCGGTATGCACCAGAAATCAACACCGGTGCGTGCGCCGCTCCCGCGAATGAACATTCGCGTCTAGCATA